CTGCCCTAAATTACTTTTTATTCGAGCAGTGAGATATGTGGGAGAGGGGGACACAATTCACGCGACATGAAGCTTGCCATTTGAAAATACACACCAGTGATATTTAATGCTTTCAGTTCACTGCAGACCCATCACCTTGGTATAATATCTCCACTTGTATCCTCTTTCCTTGCTCTCTTTCAGTGCTGCAATTACAGGCACGCAGAACAAATCTGGCGCATGTTAAATTTTATTTGAAAAGAGTCCTGCCTTAGCTCAGGCTCCTGCCTCAGCCCCCCAAGTGGCCAAGACAATAGTATAGCCCTGTGTGGTATCACACAGCCTTCTTCATTGCTTCCTGTGCTGACATAGTGCTTTAAATGAACACAACACATTTTATTTATGCATTCAATAGCCAGTGCAGATGTGTTTGGGCTTTTTCCACCTCCTGGTTATTATGATATTTATAACACTGCTGTGAGTATCTGTATACAGGTTTTTTGCATAGAAAATATGTCTTCAAGTTGTTTGGATACAAACCTGGACTAGAATCACTAGGCCACGTGGTGACTTTCTGTTTGTCATTTTGAAGGTCTGCCAGACTGCTCTCCATGTGGCTACATAAGTTAATGTTCCCGATCACACAGTACGAGGGCTGCAACTGTTTCCACTGGCACTGACTCATCTGCATGTTTAAGATTATTCACAGACAAATGACTGCGTGTTCACTATCTTTTCATGCACTTCTTGGCCATACATCTTACTTATTTTGTTCTTCGGAAGCGTGTATGGGGGTGCACACCTCTAATCCCAGCACACGTGAGGCTGAGACTCGGGGAGCACAAGTTCAAGGACAGCTTGGGCTACAGAGCAATTTGAAGGTTGGACTACTACATAGGGAGAAACTGACTTAACAAAATGAATCAAAAGAGGGGGCTGGGGATTTAGCTCAGCGGCAAAAAGCGCCTGCCTGGCAAGCGCAAGGTCGTGAGTTCGGTTCCCGGTACCGGAGAAAAACCAAAAAACAAAAACAAACAGAAGACACTAGAGGAGCACCTTACCCTCCACCACGTGTGAGCACACAGGACATCCGTTTCCAGGCACTTGGAAGTGATCCACCAAC